GGTAGAGCACTTGCCTAGCATGTGTGAGGCACTGGGTTCAAACCTAAGCACCACATACAAATAAATAAACAAAATAAAGGCATTGTGTCCATGTGCAAGAAAAAAAATTAAAAAAAAAAAGATGTGGCTGTAGAGTGGTGAGGAAATGCAGAGGATCAGCAAACTATGAAAAGAGTTGGGGTGTCAGTCCAGGTCCTCATCAGGCTCTCTGGCATGTGGGCATCATTGTCGGCTGGCTGAGTGTCTGTTCATTTGCTCCATCATTTATGCTAAATCATGAGGCTTCTGACTGTCCCTTCAATCCCTATCAGCTGCTAATTTCTTAGTGACATCATTCGTCCTGAGGTTAAAGCATCTGGTCTGGTGGTCCCCACCCTGATTTTCTGGCATGCCAGAGACTTCACTCTTGAGTTTGTCAGGGTGGGGAGAAGTGACTTGTTTGTGCCTGAGGACCACACTGGAGGGCTCCCTAGGTGTGCCTGGTGAAACTACAGGTTTCAAACTGGAGTTTTAAAATGGAGTTGCTTAGGCTAAGGCCTACGGCCATCCTTACACAGGATCTTCATTCTAAGCAACTAGATTTTATGTCTTTTGGAACTTACTATTCTGTTAATGAACTTCACTTATTGGGTGGGTTCCTGTGCAAATCATCTGTTGTTCGCTCCCTTTTTAAGCATAGTGAACCAAAGTGAAAAATATCTTAGTATGGTGAAGGGTAGACCCACCTACATCCTTGTAGATGGGTCTGAGAATTAAATAAGACAGATTAGCTTGAGAAAAAATACAAACATATTTACAAGTTTTAATGGCACAGGAGCCTTGTGACGAAATGAGGCCTTAAGGCAGCAGTTAGAAGGCAGTTACTTTTACACTGGGGTGGATGAAGAACGTTGGAGGGGCAGAAATGTGATTTTTTTTTTTTTTTTTGGTGGTCATAACATACATTTATTCACATGCTGATGCTGAACAGAATGGATTTGTGACAGTCCTCTTATTGTCAATTAARGGAAGGGATGTAGCGAGGCACAGTGGCACATGCCTGTAATCTCAGAGGCTCRGTGGGAGGCTGAGGCAGGAGGATCACAAGTTCAAAGCCAGCCTTAGCAAAAGCGAGACATTAAGCAACTTAGTGAAACCCTGTTTCTAAATAAAATATAAACTAGGGCTAGGGATGTGACTCAGTGGCTGAGTGCTCCTGAGTTCAATTCCCAGTACCCTCCAAAAAGTGGGGAAGAATGTGACAAAAGGCTAGAGCCTCACATACCCTATATTTTAGGATGGGAGAGGATAACCCTCAAGACTCCACAAGACTCTTACTTGCAAGGTAAGGCAGGCAGAGTATCTGATGTGTGGGAAGGCAGAAAAGTGCGATGCATGGGGACCCTGGGTCCCTTGGTTTGATCTGTTCTTGAGATTCTGGGTCTCCTGAGTTTCTCAGAGCTGTCTGAC